GGTGATGCAGAGCTTCTCAGAATCGAGTCTGCTCCCCCAGAAGGAACCAAAGCACCGTGGGCATATGACAAGGCTAAATTGTACCAATTCACAACAGCTCCAAGCAAGCTGTTGCTTGTAAAGGACTCACTTCGGGGACGAATGAGTCTTATAGAGCACATACACGGTGTCTAGCAGCACTTTGATAAGGTACTGCAAAATGGTGCTCGTTTCGACTTTGACCCTTTGTGTTTGCCCATATAAACAAGTCTAGATCAGGGAGATGTCGTTTATTTTGCAGCTGCATGGCACTACTAAGTTCACTCCTCATGTCTTAACTGCTCTCAGGCCCTCTGCTTTCGAACATAAAACCCATCTTATTTCTAACTAAAGGAGGCCTTAGACAACTATTTGTTGTGCTACCTTAACATTAAAAAAAAACAATAGGTCTGTAATAACTTTGTTTTAGTAAGTTTGTACTGTTTCAAAACAGAAATATTTCTGAAGCAATGTGAAAGTACCGTGTGCCTGAAAACCCCTTGACCTTGGTACCTGATTTCTACCTGCAGCTTGTGTTCATTGTCATTCTGCAGCTCCGCACTTTAAATGCAAATCTAAGTCAAAACCTTTGTAATTAAGTCAGTAGATCACTGCCCATTACTGTTTAATGACTGAATGCACTTTTCCTCTCCTGGATTTCATCACAAGTACATTCTCTCCCCCTGCATGAAACAGCACTATACAGTAATTCCAATCTTTTCAGTTCCACCAGCTTGACAACAGGGTGGACACTGGTTTAAAGGATGTTGCCATGACTGAAGCAAGTTCACCTGCAGCACATTTTCAAGCCAGTAATAAGGGTTAAAGGAAAGGAAACGTGTCGCAGAGCGTGAGCAGTCATGACCTGGCTGGTTTATCTGGAAGGATTGGGAAGATCAAGTGAGAACGGCAGGTTCCTTTCTAATCCGTGGAATACTGATGGCCAATATTCTCTCTCGCCAGCAGAAGAACGCGCCACCAAGACAAGCAGCACAATCTCTCAGATTTTACTCTCTCCTGCCTTTCACATAACTTGAAAAGCACGGGTTAATCCGATGCTCACAATACTTCATTCATGTTTTACAGGATGGGACTCACTACAGGATTACAGTTCTGTTTTTGAAGACTGCAGCTCCCCACAGCTTCAGATAACAGCTCTCAACCATTGGCTAATGAGCCAGACCTGGTTAAGGAACCCCAGGAAGTGTGCAAGTGTTTCACCATGGACGTATACGGGATGTGTTGAGATGAGTTGGGCATTGTAGCTTGCAATTCTATAGGAAGGTTTCAGAAACCTCCTTCAGACATCCTGAGATCTGGGCAAATAAAACGTTGGCGCTAGTGTAAAATCTGAAATTGAGATTCCTGTAATTCATGGCATCACGCCAAGCTGTGCATTTTTTTAAAACTTTGTGTTAAAAGAGCTTTTTCACGTTATGATGATGAAATCTTTGTAATGAAAAAAAGTTTATGTAACCGATACTTTTTTTTATACCGCTAAGTAAGTTATCTACAGGAAAGTGGCAGCAAATTCAGATTGACTTTCTGTCTCTTTGACAAGACATAACCTCCTACATCATTTATAAGCTTTGTCAGATTTGTAATCATATGACACAAGGTCCGAGAATGACCGTCCAATTTTAGACGGAGAATTAGAGAGTTGAAAACATGTCAGATGCAGCTGTTTCATAGCGTGATCGAACTCCAACAATTTCTCCTGCTCCCCAGTAATTATTTCAGCTTCTGAGAGGCACAGTGCTGCTGGATACTGACAGCTCATCACAGTGCACAGTGTCAGTCCACTAACTAAAACTAATGAAGCACACAGAACACAAAATGTGAGGGAATTCACTTCCAGCAAGGAATCTTCTACCTAACCTCTTACAGTCAAATTCACACCACTCTGAGATTCTTCATTATGACATATACTAGAAGATGCTAATTTTATGTGCTTTTTAGCACCACAATTAAAACATGATAAAAATGGGACACCATTTATAGCGTTATAATAAAAAGTAAAGGCCTACATACCTAAGAATTAAGCAATCAGAATAGCACAACGCCTAATTGTTTATGAACAATTGTTTTGAACACAAACCACACCAGTGCAAGAGAGACCGTGGTTGCAATATCTAAGGGAAACAGCTTAGGGAATTTGAACAGCTGGAAGTTCCTTCCGTAAACATTTTTTAATAAAAATTGCATTTTGCCAATTGTTAAGTACAGGAAGACACGGCCATTTACAACTTTTCCGACTGCATCTTCTTCAAGCATTTGCTTTGGCAGGCAGTACCCTCCAACGACGTGAGCTTCATGGGAAACGCTCAAGTCAGCTGAATACTGTAGTTGACCTTCAGAAAAACCCACTGACTTAAAAAAAAAAACTATTTAAGATATTTTATTCTGAGCACCACATGGCATGGTGGGGCGAAGATGAAGCACGAGGGTTTAAATGTCGTGTTCAAGGCTCGGCAAGGGACCCCTTTCTGCCCCCGGGGCCACATACACTCAGAGAAGCGGGGCCTGATGGACGCCCAGGCCCCAAGACAAAAGGCCAGGGGTCACTGGCCTCCAGGGAGAGTAAGCTGGGAAAAGGCATGCCTCAGGAACAAAGAAAGCCAGCGGAAAGGTAGGGCTCATTTCTGAGTTAACACAGGGCGGACTCAATGGACACGGACATAAGGGAGGCATTGCCTCTGCCTTTTCAAAAAGAACTGAGAAATGTTCCATTTTTCAGGCTGTGGGCCGTACTGTCAGCCAGCTGTCAATAACAAGGCTTCTTTCAGCACTTCAGAACGGCAGAGCACGAGAACAGAAATGATGGAAGAGCTGGAGAACTAGGCTGTCGATTAAATTCAGATTTCAACATGCATTGTGGGCAGAGTTGTACAAAGGCAACAACGACTGACACTAGAAGTCAGTAGGTTGCCTTTTCCAGTTAAACAAAAAGAAAATCAAATGAATGAATCTAATGTTCTCTTCCATAGGCATGCCCACTTTCTGAAAGCTCAGAATACATGCTAGCTCCTTAGAAAACCTATTTCCCAGATTCTATCTCCCTCTGAATATCTTCCTCCTGTGGAAAATATATCCTTTGATAGCTTCAACCCCAACCTAAAAAATGACATTTAGTTTCAGGTTAGTGTAAGCTATTTTATTACCTTTCCCAGACACACCTATTCATCTTAGAAAAAACATTATGCCAACAAGACCATTTGCCTTTGGATAATTCACCATCCCAAACAGCCTCAGGAAACTTGCAGCAGAAGTATTGCATTATCTATGAAAGGCTGGTTTTTGAGAAAGAAAACCATGCATTCTCATAAACAGATAAGCAGATCTTGTTCCTTGAACTTCTACACCTACTTACTGTATATGGATAGGTATATTGTGCACAAATATATTCTTAAATAATAAAATTAAAATAAAACTGGGAGTTTGCTGTTGTTATTGTTACAGCCTTCCATTTGTGCACGTAAATTCAAAACAGAAAAATAAATGAAAATCACTGAGGTTTTTGTGAGGTCAATGCACAGAGAAAATAAATCTGGCTTTTTTTTTTTTACAATGTCAGTGACTCAAAGAAGTATGTTGAATTGCATTTACTACACGCAGTTAATGTTGCATAAAGGTTGTTTCAGATGTAGGTTAACTTTGTGCAATGATTTCCATGCAATCCAGTTTGCTGCTTTGCAATGGCTTGTCTTTGCTTTCATAAATCCAACCCCTTTAATCTCCTTACTCAGCTGCAACCTCTTTAAAAATTCAGGATATCAGTAAATTGTAAATTGATCTGTCTCTGTGGCTAGAGTCCAGGGACACTCTGTCCAACAGAGTACTCAGACTATGGTAGTCATTGCCTTCACCAAGACAGTTAACACAAAATTCTCCTTTAACCCCTTCATCCAGCCATTATCTCGTAATACAGAACACACCTGGAGAGACCACCCAAAACACCAGAAACATCGTAGTGATCTTCAAGTATGCATCTATGTAATTGATTTTAGCATTATACATTCTTAAAGTTTTTCCACAAATGATAGCATGTACTTTAGCAATATAATTTAAAAATACTATAGACACATCTGCAAGACAATATTTTTCAATGAAACCCATTTTTTATTCTCACTTTATTAGTATTCATTCTTTTTAAATACTAAGATCAAATCTCAAAAGTAAAATTGTTTCAGATAATAAAAATCGATTGTCCTTTGGAGTCTTAACTAATGAAAGGTATTTTTTCCCCCACTTTCAAGAAAAGCAGTAAGAGAACAATAGAATACTTTGCTATACATAACCAGTTGGTTTCACAGTAGAATATAATTGGTGAAAACAAAATATGTGCCTTAACAATGATAGTGAGATGTTATGTACTGTACGTAGTTTAAAGTAGTAAAAATGAACCTGAACAGGTAAGACGTCTTTGTATCGCACTCTAGATTTCAGCGCCAACTGCAAGTTCAGTGATACATGTTGTCCTTTTAAGAATTCATAAGAATCAAAAAACTAAATTGTGCATGAGCAGCTAGCGGTAAGTATAAAATAAGTACTTCATATTTTAAGAGAAACCAAACTGAAATGTCTTTCAATTTTAAAAAAATCAACGTAAAACATTTGATAAGTATGGAGGGAAATAAATCTTCAGTGACAAAAAAGACTTTACAAAACTTTGGGCAAAAATCTTATATAGTCTTCTAAAATGAAGATATAAATGTTAGTTCACGTGCTACAGACACAGTAGCTTGGCAAAAGCTGGTTATTTCAGGCCAGTTCGTCTCCTTATCATACCTAATTTTTTAAATACTTCTCCTCAAAAAGTATTTCAATTTCCTCTCAAGAGTTCAAAAGATTCACAATATACATGATGCACACAATTACTTTAACTTTCCAATAAGGTTATAATCAGTCACGGAAATTACAGTTGATTCAAATTTTGGGGGGCATTAATTTCTTCGATATTAAGTAATATGAAAGACACCTACCCGTTTGCCAGAAATATACAGATTTGCTTTCCCCTTCAGCTTGTGCCTGAGCATCCCAGATTCCAAACAGCAGGAGAACTACCCTCCACAAACAGGGGGCTGACAGTGGAGCTGTCCCTTTTGGACCATTAAGCAAGACTGGTCCTCTCTCTTTCAGCTCCATGCCTTAAGCAGGATGCTTTAATCCACAGGACCCAGGTAAAAACGCCGCAGAAGAGTGGTTTTGCCCTCTGTGTCCTTTTGCGCGTGGATTAGTATCCCGTCATGAACGATGTCCGGAGAAGTCACCTTACTCTCAGCTGCACGGTGCTGACTGTCCGTGGAGGAGAAGGAAAACTGGCTAACACACAGGAACAATAGATCCCCCAGCCACATCAGCTGCTCTCTCCTGCTTCTGCTGCGGCTGGTGAGGCTCCTCTCTCTCTCCTCTATTCAGGACGCAGTGACAGTTTGCCATCAGCAGAGAGAGACAGCTGTCCACAGGGGGCTGCAGCTGATTGAGCAGGTTATCTGGGTCTGGGAGGTAGCAATAGTCATTTACACCAGCTGGAGAGAGAACCAGTGAGAGATACAGGGAGTCAGAGAGAGGGGGAGACAGAGAGAGAGGGAGAGAGAATGAAAGAGCCTGTGAAGCCTGCTGCAAAGAAACAGTAGTGAATGAAGGCACAAAAAATATAAATGAAATATTAACGGATGAGAGTCAAAATGAGCCGAGGTGGAGAAGCTGCAAAATGTAGACTTGCCGCAGCTTCTAAAATGCTCCCAAAGACATGTAGGCGAGTGTTCATGTGAAATCCCAAAGCCCCAGCCACAGGAGTACATAATTAATGGAATTAAATCATTGATGTTATCTGATTCAGAGCTGGTTTGCAAATTGAAGACAACAAAATCAAAACCTTTGAGCATGGGGAAGTGAAATGTGATAGATTGTGCACAGCACATCACAAGGGCATAAAAAGACTAAAAGGACAAGGGAAAAAAATTATCCTTCAGCCTCATTGACTGTAGACATCTCAGTGAATTAGGTGATATAAAATAACAAGGATCATTAGAACATGAATGTTTCTATCTCTAATTAGAAGAATATAAAAATACTCTATTTATTCAGAACTTTGAATATCACTAAACCTTGAATACAATCTACTAATTTAAAATGATTAAAATGGATCCTCATCTGTCCGTCTTAGAAGACACAATAATTGTAATGTCAAGAATATCAAGTATTCAAATGTGATAAAATAGTGAAATAATAATGTTTGAAAAGTACCAGGCAAATTGATTTTGCAATCGCACTGCATGTGTCAAAAAAGCCATGAAGCTGCTGATATTCAAAGGGGAGACATTCTGTATCTCCCAGGGGATGTCTGTCATTTTGCAGAATGTCTTTCGTTTCAGCCCTTTTTGCATAGATTAGATTAATAGCTGAGCTGATCAAATAATTCGTCACCTCACCCTTCTTAAACATGCAGGCAGCAAAACAAATTAGCTACACTGAATGCTGGAGAATGGCCTTTGTTTATTTGCCACCCTTTCTTCACGCTTCTGAGAGGGCATTAAGGGCTCAGAAACCATGAAGCGCTTGGGCTGCTGTGATTAGCACAGATAAGCAAGAGTGGATTTAAGTTCTTCAGCTTTTGAAAACATTCAGCAATAAGGGGATTGTGTCTTGATAAGGCAGACCCTGAAAGTCATCACCCAAACAAATGTAATGTGTCCACAAAGTAAAAAACAACACCTCACATACCAAGCCCACAGAAAAATATATCACGATAATAAAAATGATCTGTTGTTATTTACAGCTTTTCATGGGTTACTATCTATATTAGGACAAGCAGAGATTACTTTCATGTTGAAAAGTAACCTATACTGTATTCAATGCTCTATATTCACAAAACAAGGCCTTATTGTAAGTAATCATAGCAATATTCTCCTCCTTGTTTGTAAGTCAATTTAGATACGTCTCTTAAATACCCATCATTATTTGTGCTTCATCTGTACCTGTTGTGGGACAGATCACATTTTTTTACTAATGTTGCCTCAGACAAAGGAAACGTGAAGGGCAAACTCAGGAGGGCAAGAATGAAGCCTTTGTGCTGTCAACAGAAGCCATCAGACACGTGCTTGTGCCACTGCCTCAGTGCTGCCTCACTGCAGACTTGTGAGGCTTCATTTTAAAGGAATGTGCGTAGACAATGCCCCTATTTACACATCTGATAAACACACACATGTGTAGCCTTTTCAATGCATTATCCTTCTCAGATGGTACAGTTACTATACATTTAAGGCAAAGCAGGATATCTCCCCCTTTTGAATGCCACAGGAGGAAATCTTCAGAGAACTTCCAGGGTACACACAAAGTGTCACACAAAAAGTAAAAGCACTTTTAGAAAAAGAAACCTTCCTCTCTGTATTTTTTTTTTCTTTCATCAAATACGCAGCCAGGAGAAAGACACTCTGAAAAACATGAACTACTCTGAATGTACACACTGAGTTAAGCACAAATAATGGAATACATGAATATTAATGGCCGGCGCTTGGTTGCCTCGCAGCGCTGGGGCCCTGGGTTCGATTCCGAACCCGGGGTGCTGTCTACATGGAGTGTATATGGTTTCCTCATGTCCATGTGGGTTTTCACCACGCTCTCCGGTTTCCTCCCACAATCCAAAGACATGCCAGTAGGTTAACTGGCTTCTGGGAAAATTGGCCCTGGTGTGAGTGTACCCGTTTGTGTTTGTGTGTGTCTTGTGTTGGACTGGTTCTGCTCTGCCTGGCACCTGTTGCTTGCTGGGATAGGGTCCGGCTTCCCCGCAACCCTGAGCTGGACAAAGCAGTGAGAAACTGGATGGGTAGAATCAGGCACCCTTGACATCTGCTCCTAAACAGAGAAACATAGAAAGAACATTTGCTGTCTGCCAGCAACATAGCTTGAGGGTTTCTGTGTAAAATTTTAACCATTTTAATGAAACCTAATCCTAAACCAATATAATCCTGTATCAACCATATATATCCCCATTCAAGCCACTCAAAAGCCATCTTTGTGTCTAATGACAGAATGACACAGGGGAGACATAATGCATAGTTTATAATGTGGAGAAGGCAGTGAATGTTATCAGAGGCCAGACATCCTTTAATGAAGTCCATCAGATCGTGGCAAACTAGTTTTTCATATCAACCTCCAGTAGGCATGAAAGCACCTTAACCTTGATCTTGGTATCTGAACAAATTAGTGCAATGGGAGGGTAGCTCACAGGTAGTGATCTTTATCTATTTTCAAAAATAGGGCTGTAACATCAGTACTAACATCCTTCCAAAAAAAAAATCAAAAGAGATGCCATCAACGTCAGGAGACTTACTCTTTGTCTTCAAAATGTATTTGCTTGAAACCTCAAAGTGTAATAAAGCAAATGTCAATACAATAAGAAAAAATCCTTAGGTCTTCAGTCAAAAGGAAAAGCAGGAAAGCATCAGAAAGCAAATCACAAAATACTAGCCGACACTTGATCACACAAAGTTCTGAAAAACCCCAGAGATGTTCATTAGAACAACGAGCAGCCAGAGTGAAAAAAAGAAAGCCTCCATATCCTCAACCAACTCAGCCACAAATTTTGTCTAAAATTTCAGAAACATCCTTGGTAGAGGCATTTTGACAGCTTTCCTCATCCGCAAAGACCATCTGTCTCTGCTTTCAATATCTCTCTTGCACATTAGCTTTCTATTCTAGTGAGCCTGATAAAACGTCAGACTTGCATCATCAGAACAAACATTGTCTTTGCTCCCACTGTCCTACAAAATCATTTAGGCTCGCTGGCAACACTTTGAGGAAAGCTGAAACCTGCTTTTATGAAGTCGTAATTAATAATTAACAGCAAATCATTGTGATTTTTAGGTCTTTTGTTTAGAATCAGTACCAGCTTTGATAAATAATTTGCCACTGACATCAAAGTTTTTTGAAACTGTGAAATAGATTTCTTTAGTTGCTATACATTATATTTTATTTACACTCAAATAAAAAAAATGAATTATGAAACACATGGAGCAAAATTTCCAAGTGAAAGCATGGCAATGTGTTTAAAATAGAAGATCGTACCACAACATACTAAAGTGGATTATTACAGGATATGACATCTGCAATCGAAATATTCCCAAAAGTAATTCAGTCAAGTTGCTCGGTGGGGGCAATTTCATTTGTTTTGCATAACATGAAAAATGTGCAAGATGGTTGATTACCTTTTGAATTCACACTCCGCAATCCATTCCCAAAAAATTCACCACTGAATAAATAGCTTAATTAACCTGTTTATCTTAATTAGTGTGCAAGAAACTTACATATTTTGGGGGGAATTCCTGGTTCTAGGTAAATTAACTTCATTTGAATTTTCATAAACATCACTGAGTTTATTGCATTGAGGGAAAAAAATATTCACCGCATTTCACTCATTATCTCAGCTGATTAGGTTTTAATTCCTGCAAGGCGAGGCAATTCTGCATGTGCCTTTTGCAATTAGACACAGCTACTACATGCTGAGAATAATTAGCTTCACAATGGCTGAACAAATGATTTCCCTGCAAAACAATGGCTTGGCTTTTTAACAATGATTATGATGCACTAGCCAGCATACATGGCTTCTTCTACAAAGGAGCTGACAAAACCTGAAATTAATTTTAATTACCAATATTTAATCAACGATTTCCAGACTTGCCAAACATTTTACTAATAGGGTGGCATATCCATTATTTAGGTGCCAGAAACAATAAAGGATGGTTACTTGTCTCTAGTGCAGGCATTATTTAAGTAAAATAATTACCACGATTACCATAGTATCATTAATATAGATCCATCCAAATGCCAATGAATATATTTTTGAAAGAAAACATGTTAAACCACACTTGATTTCTTCAGACAAATGGTTGGCTAATTACTAATAATCTAATTAAAGCAAAAAACTTTGATCTGCCAAGCTACAAAACATACAAGTGATATTTTAGCCAGTCCAGAAAGGGCACACCGGTTTCCGGCTGAAATGAAAGCAATGTAATGATGAAGTTTTAATTAAACGACAGTAGCAGTGGGTAGAGAAAAATAAGATTGCAAGAATACCGTATTTTTGTCATTCTGACAGAGGTTTAATATAAGATTAACATAACTGAGATGTACTGTACACAGAGAAAAAAACTAATCACAGCCCCTGCAAAACCTATTTTGGCCACAGGAAAAGATTAGCATCCGTACGGCAGCTGACCACAAAAAAAAAAACCTCAGTGGGTTTTTTAAAGTAATTACAGTAAATGGAATTACTCTGATGAAACTCAGGAAACACAACAGGGAGAGGACTTTGACAGCGAACCCTGCCAGGGGTGGGTAACCCCACTCCTCCATCGCCAGGCTCCTGCAGGATTTAGAGACACCTTTCGTTTAGCACCTCATTAACAGCCGGCGTGGCTCCTCTGCTTAACAGTTGCAATATCGTTGTGAAGGTCTGAGATGGAACGCAGACCTGAAGCGAGATTGTTACTGCAGGACCGGGGGGGGCCACCTGTATGAGGGG